GGCAGCCACAAAGCTGGAGAGAGCAGGAGGCTTAAGTTGCCCCTGGCAATGGAAGAAGCCAAGCTTCTTCTGCTCAAGGCTACAAAGTTTCAATTATAGAAAATAAATAAATACCAACAAAAATGGCTTCAGCCACTAGCAAGCAAGAGGTTTGGCTCTGCTCAAGGCTACAAAGTTTCAATTATAGAAGATAAATAAACCCCAGATACCAGGGCCTCTGCTTAGGTCACCGGGGCTGTAGCTGGCCTGAAAACCACCACAGGCCCCTTGCCCAGGCTGTCCCAAGCCCCAAGAGAACCCATACCCTGCTCCGAAACCTCCTTCAAGGCAAACCAGCTGGCCCCCATGCACCAGGCCTCTATCCTATCTAATAAAAGAGTAATATGCAGATTGAGCATCACTCCAACACACAAGATGGCTGCCCCCATGTGGTAAAAAATGGCTGCCCCCATGTGGACACAAGATGGCCACCACAAGATGGCCAGCAGGGGAGGGCAGTTGGGAGAGACCAGGCCTGCAAGGGAGGGCAGTTGGAGGCAATCATGCCTGCAGGGGAGGACAGTTAGGGGTGACCAGGCCTGCAGGGAAGTAGTTAGGGGGTGATCAGGCTGGCAGGCAGAAGTGGTTAGAGGCAATCAGGAAGGCAGGAAGGTGAGCAATTGGGAGCCAGCAGTCCTGGATTGTGAGAGGGATGTCTCAGACTGGAGAGGATGCAGGCTGGGCTGAGGGACACACCTCCCCGTGTATGAATTTCATGCACCAGACCTCTAGTTTACTAATAATTTCTAAACATAAAAATAAACTATTTAAATACTTATCCAATTTAGATATGACCAAAAAAAGCAATAAAATAGAGAAATTGAACTTCATCAAAATACAACTTTTGTGCTTCAAGTGACAATCTAAACAAGATGAAGAGAAGCAACAGAATGGAAGAAAATATTTGCAAATCATATATCTGATAAGAAACTTGCCTCAAGAATATAAAAAGAACCCTTACAACTCAACAGTAAAAATATAAGTAACCCCATTAAAAACTAGGCAAAGAATATAGAGGGACATTTCTCTAAAAAAGATATACAAATAACCAATAAGCACATAAAAAGATGTTCAACATCATTAGTCATTAATTATTGGGGAAATGAAAAACAAAACCATAACGATATTCCACTTCTACCTATTAGGTTGGTTAGAATAAAAAAAGACGGACAAGTGTTTGGTGAGAATATGAATTGGAACCCTCATACATTGCTGGTGGAAATGTTAAAATGGTGTGGCCACTTGGTAAAGCAGTTTGGCAGGGCTTCAAAAAGTTAAACATAAAGTTACCATATAATTCAGTAGTTTCACTCCATTTCCACCCAGGAGAATTGAAAGCATATTCTCACACCAAAACCTACACACAAATGTTTATAGTATCACTATTCACACTGGCTAAAAGTGGAGACAATCCAAATGTGCATCAATTTGGTAAATAAAATGTGATATGTCCTATAATAAAATACTATTCAGCCGTAAAAAAATAATAATGAAATACTAATACATGCTATCACATGGATGAATGTTGAGGACATAATTCTACGTGAAAGAAGCCTGTCACAATAGGGCACATATTGTATGAAGCAATTGATAGAGTTTCCAGAATAGGCAAATCTATAGAGACAGAAAATAGATTAGTGATTGCCAGGGGCTCAGAGAGGAGGGGGAGTGGAGTAACTGCTAACAGGGATGGAGTTTTTTGCACTCGGGGGTGGAGTAGGAAATGTTCTGGAATTAGTGGTGATGAATGCACAATTTTGTGACTATACGAAAAACCATGAGTTGTACATTCTAAAAGAGTGGACTCTATGATATGTGAATTACAACTGACCCTGGAACAATGCAGGTTTGAATTGGGTCCAAATTGTCCAAGCATCAGCTGCCTACGTGGAGGGCCAGCAGAGTTTCGACTGCCTGGGTCATTCACACCCATAGCCCCTGGGGGAGATAAGAGATCAACCAAAGGACTTGTATACATGCATATAAGTACAACCAATGGACACAAAACTCTGGGGAAGGAGGGAATGTATGGGGGGGGGGGGGCAATGTTAAAATATGTACACAGATAATTTAATTTAAAAAATGAAATCATACAAAGTATGTTCTCTGAATGAAATAAAATTAAAGCTATAAGTCTAAGTATTACAAACATCTTTATTTGCTTGGCTGGTGTGGCTCAGTGGTTGAATGTTGACCTATGAACCAGGAGGTCACACAGATGAGAGAGAATCATAGATCAGCTGCCTCCTGCTTGCCCCCTACTGGGATCAAGCCTGCGATAGTGGCATGTTCCCTGAACAGGAGAATTGAGAATATGCTTTCAATTCTCCTGTTCAGAGAACATGCCACTGTCGCAGGCTTGATCCCAATAGGGGGAAGCAGGAGGCAGCTGATCCGTGATTCTCTCTCATCACTAATGTTTCTGTCCCTCTCTCCATCTCCCTTCCTCTCTCCGAAAAAAAAAATAATAATAATAAAAATATTTCTTTAAAAAATCTGTATATCAACAAAATGAATTAGATAAAATGGACAAATTCCTAACCCTGGCCAGGTGGCTCGATTGGTTGGAGCCTCACCCTGTGGGTCAAAAGGATGGTGTATTCAGTTCATACCTAGGTTGCGGGTTTGATCTCCAGACAGGGTATACCAACGTTTCTCTCTCACATAAGTATCTCTCTTTCTCCCTTGCCCCTCCCCCTCCCTTTGCCCTCCTACTTCATCCCATCCTCCTTCTTCTCCCTCTCTCTCTAAAGTCAATAAAAATATATTCTCATGTGAGGATTATAAAATAAAAAATGGAAACATCCCTATAAAAACACAAATTACTAAAACTGACTTAAGAAGAAATAGAATGTCTGAATAGACCTACAATATATATATATATATATATATATATATATATATATATATATATATATATATATATATATATATATATATAATTTTTAATTGAACTAGCCATTGAAAATCTTCCCACAAAGATAAGTCCAGCTATAGCTGGTTTGGATTCACAGGGCGCAGGGCAATGAGGAGCTCACAGGTGACGGGCTGAGGTCAGAGTAGCAGCAGACACCAGGCGGCGCCACTGGGTTCAGAACCCCACTCCTGGCCAGGCCAGGCCAGGGCCCGAGGGCTCCTCCGGGAGTCCTGGCCAACTTTGAACTCGTCCATCGGTTCCCTACACGTGGCCCCTTCACCCTCCCTCTCCTGAACGTTGCCCGCATTCTTCAGCGAATGTGGAATGTTCAGGGATCGAACACAGAATTCTCCGAGGCCAAAGCAATTCTTTCCAACAAGCTCCGCCCATCACCGAACCCTCTGCCCAGATACCGGAAACCCAGCAGCTGGGCGGTAGGTTCCAATGGTCCGAAGGCACCCTTGGCCCAGCGGGGACGCCATGGGGTCGTGCCACTTCCGGTTCCGCCCACACTGGCAGGAGACCGGAAACCCAGCCGTAAGGGCAGAGGCAGGCCAGCAGCGTGAAGGCAGCCCAGGAAGTTTGAGTTCCCTTATGACTTCGTCATTAACAAGCATAAACCACCCCAGGAATCGGAAGCCCTCCACGGCTACATGAAAACAAGTTCAGTTTCACTTTAGTGCAAAACAACTTTTTTGGAGGGGCTTACAGAGAATTCCTGGGATTTCCGATTCAGTGGTCCTGGGTTGGGGCAAAGAATCTGCATTTTTCCACAGACTTCCCAAGGAATGCCATTGCTTCCAAGTCACAGACCATGATTGCTCCAATATCCATCGAGAGAACCCTGATTTAAATATAATTCCGGACGAAGGAATACTATGCAGCTCTTAAAAATGTGGGTCTTTAGCATATGCCATGTTGTAAAAAGGGAACAAATGAGCAATCATGTGGCTAGGAGAGACAGGGGTCGAAGGCAATATTTCCTTGTCCTCTGTCGCCATAGGAAAGCATCACATATCACAGAAATCAGTGTTGGACGTTTACTCCTAGTAACGCGTTCAGCCACACCTTCGCTTTTGCGGCCACCATGTACCTCGCACAAGAGTTCCGGGCTCCGGAACATAATCCTCCTGCGTGGTATTTTTCTCTGTAAATTGGGCTCAAAACAAATACACTTCGCTGCAGGAGTTTAGGTCAAACTCTTCAGTTTATGGTCGCAGAAAAATTACCATAGTACTACCCTAAGGTGAGCAGATATCCCGCTTTTTGGCGAGACAGACCAGCCAAAAAGCGGGACGTCTGTTCAACTTATACTACACTGATATATGGAGTCGTAAATTGATCGTACGGAGGCTGCTATTCACACACTCCATTCTCACGCGACTGAAAGGACCTGACAGTAATTTACAACTTAGGCAAACAGAAAATAATGATGTTGTAACCCCAAAATTCACCCCACTTTCCAAAAGAGAAAAGCTCGGGTCCTTAGGGGAATGGGGCTCTCTGGGCGGGAAGACGGTCTTACGCGTCGGTATCCAGGGACGGCGTTCTATTGGTGAGAATAGAAGCCTAGCCCGCGTTCCGGTGATCATGTCCTCCGCACCGCGGTAAATTAAAAAAAAAAAAAAAGCAACAGGAACTGCGCGGGAAGTCAAGCCCAGAGCATCATGGTCCTTCGGCCCAATGGGGCTTCCTTACAGGAACTTGTCAACTACAGTCGCCCCCATCTCCGAGGGGCGGGGCCTCGGAAGGGGCGGGGCTTATCCAGCAGCTGTGATAGGCTGGTTGCGGGCGTCTAAGGGCACGCACCGAAGGGTCGTCGTCGTGAGCGTATAAAGATTCGAAGCCCGGGGGAAGGGTCGCACTAGCCAGACTGCCGGCCTTTTAGGAGGACGCCCAGGAGCCCCGAGGACTTGCCCCGCGACGCGCGCAGCTCTTCACGCAGCCCAGCCGGCCCCCAGCCCGCTTCACCTGTCTCCGCCGCCGCCGAGTGACACTCCCTCCGCCAGGCCCAGGAGCACCGCCCGCCCGCGGCGCCGCCCCGATGCTGGGCAGACGCCCCCTCAGCCCCAGCTTCCATGCCGCGCCCCGGTGGGAACCGCAGCCCGGGGGGCCCGGCCCCGCCAAGCGCCGCCGAATCCAGGAGCCCGCGGGCCCCGAACACGGAATGGCGCCCGGCCTGCAGGGCCCGGCCGAGCCCAGGGCCGCCGCTGCGCTCACCTCCGTGGTGGTGCTGGCCGCGGGCTGCGCCTTGCAGCTGCCTCTGGACAGCGGCTTCGACCTGAGGCTGGAGCCCGCGCCCACGTCGGTGCTGCGAGTGCGTCTGGGCGGGCACACCCTCGTGCTGGTGCCCGAGGCGCTCTGGGGCGCGGGCGCGGGGGCGCGCTCGCCGGGCGGCCTGGAGCCCGGCGCTCTCCTGGACGCTCCCGGGGGAGGCGTCGCCGTCCAGCAGGAATTCTTCTGCGCATTTGTCCCAGAGGTCGTCGCCGTTCCAGAGTTCGCCTTCCCAGAGGTCGCCGCCGCTCCAGAGATCGCTGTCTCAGAGATCGCCTTCCCGGAGATGGCCTTCCCAGAGGTCTCCGTCCCAGAGATGGCCTTCCCAGAGGTCTCCATCCCAGAGGTCGCCGCCGCTCCAGAGATCGCCTTCCCGGAGATAGCCTTCCCAGAGGTCGCCCTCCCAGAGGTCTCCGTCCCGGAGATGGCCTTCCCTGAGGTCTCCGTCCCAGAGGTCGCCGCCGCTCCAGAGATCGCTGTCCCAGAGTTCGCCGTCCCAGAGATTGCCATCCCAGAAGAGGCCTACGACGAGGATGAAGCCCCCGGGTTCCTGACTCCTTGGATGGTCCATGCAGTGGGATTAGGGACCCACTCTCAGGGCCCCATCAGAGAGCCATGGCCCCGGGCCCCCACGCCTAGCCCAGAGAGACGCGCGCCTGGTCCCTACTACAGCCCGGACTTCCACCTTTGGGAGCCCTTCCCCAGCTCCCCGCTCCAACCCCTACCTCCTTCTCCCAGTCCAGGTCCTCAGGTGCGCCCCCGGCGCCCTCTGGGGCCTCCTCCCAAGGCCCGCAGAAGGCTGTTCTAGGAATGAACTGCTATAATCCCGCCCCACGGAGCTGAGGACCAGGAGAAGGTATCCCCATAGCGGTTGTGTGTATATTGCACAACCTACAAGAATGGAGAAACAGATACATCCTTGTTGCAGGCTGCTTTGTAGAATTTTCTGTCAATGGTAGACTTAAAACTTTTGGAAGAAAGATGACAAAGCAGCAAAGAAATGCTGCTTGAAATACAGGATACTTGACTTTGGGTGGTGAGCAATGCTATATACAGATGATGTATTATATGTAATTGTGCACTTGAAACTTATGTAACTTATTAATGCCCCCCCAATAAATGTAATATTTAAGAAATATTTTTAAAATAAAATGTACATCCAGATTGCTACTTACGTTGTTTTCTTTATATAGGTCACTTTTAAGCAGTTCCATTCCCTCTAGTTTTGCTTTGGACCTCGGCTCCACTACTTTTTTCTTAAAATACTTCCCTTCCCCAGTAACTACCGCTGTACCTCTTTTCTTCTGAATTAGAGTAATTACTAAATTTCTTTTGTATCATGGGTTTTGGCCCTACTATCCATGGCACCAGCCCCTTTTGGCAGGATCTAGCAAATAGCTATATGTGGACAGATGTCTGTTGGGTACAAAGCAAACAGAATGGGGAACAATGTCTGTGCACCTTCCTCTCTTTCAATGACTAGGTAAGCCAGTGATTTAACTATATTGCTGGGTTTATGGAGATTTTTTTCCCCCCAAAGTATCAACTCTTTTCCATTACTTTCTTATATGGTTAATATAATTTTCCTGTCCTGGAAATGTAATTCTAAAGACTGTATTTTTATAGTTCTAAGACCCTAAATAAATTTTGCACGTTGGTACTGGCATATGGAAATAATTTATTCTCATATTGATCTGGTATCCAGCAAAATTATCTAATTTTTTAATAGCTTATTTGTAGATTCTCTTGCTTGACTGATGAAGACAATACTATTTCCAAATGATGAGAAATTGTCTTTCTGTTGTTCTTGTTAAACCTCACCTGAGGATATTTTTTCCATTGATTTTTTTTTTAAGAGAGAATGGAAGGGAGGAGGAGAGACAGAGAGAAACATCGATGTAAGATACATCAATTGGTTGCCTCCCACATGTGCCCAGACCAGGGCTGGGAATAAGCCTGCAACCGAGGCACCTGGCCTTGACCAGAATTGAGACCCTTCACTCCATAGGCTGGTGCTCTAACCTCTGAGTAAACCGGCTAGGGTGAGAAATTGTCTTTTTTTTTTTTTTAATGTATTAATTTTTTACAGAGAGGAAGGGAGAGTGAGAGAGAGTTAGAAACATCAATAAGCTGCCTCCTGCACAACCCCTACAGGAAATGTGCCCACAACCAAGGTACATGCCCTTGACCAAATCGAACTTGGGTCCACAGACTGGCACTCTTATCCAATGAGCCAAACCAGTAAGGGTGAGAAATTGTCTTTTTTGACAAGCCTCTTACATGTTATTCCTTAATCTCCTTTATTAGATATCATTTCCAAGTAAAGATTGAACAGTAATAGGGGCATCCTGTCTTACTGTTCAATCTTGTGTAAAAGTAGGTGCTTCTAAATTTTACCATAAATTTTAATCTTTTCTGTACAGGCTTGGTAAATAACCTATATAAGGAGTTAGTTTTCAGTCTTTCTGATCATTGAAAATTTTGGATTTTTGTGTTGTTTGTTTGGGGCTGGCTACAAAGACTTTCTCAGGTTATTCTGAATGTTGGCGTTTTATTGTTTGTTTGTATACATAAAATAGCTACATTCAATCTTTGGGTCTTTGGGTACATACAGAAAGCTGGAAACAGAACAAATGAGACCAAGCTTGGGGCTTCAGGAATTTTAAAAATTGCATGCCCTCTGATTTCAGAAGAGAATGTGGAAGGGAAAAGGCAATAACTGTAGGGTCACTTTAAGGATTTTAAATGTTAAATTTTGAAATTAATTTTTCTGTATGTATAAGATGACTTATTGTAGTTTCTTTTTAAATCTATTCATGTGGTCATTCACACTGCTAGGCCTTCTAAAGAAGTATCTTTGCATTTTGGTTATTGTACATTTTTTTATACAATTCTAATTCCAGTCTTGGTTCTTTTTTGTTTTGTTTTTTCTTTGTTTATTGCAACCATATACCCACCATTCCTAATTTTAAAATTATTTTTCCAGGTTTGTCTCATATTTTACAATGAAATAAATTATTTGTGATAAAACTAATATCAAGATACTAGCTTTTTCTGCTGAATACTAATAATTATTTAGACTTAACAACATGCTTTGCCAGTGTCTTTGCTCACCTTCTGTTCTTGCATTCCACTCCTTCATTCTGTCCTCATGTTTTTCTTATCAAGGTATACTCTTCCAAATTTCTTCAGCTGTGGCCTGGGTTTAAATTTTAGTTTTATATGCCTGCACATATTTCAGTTAAACCTTCAAACTTGTATAATTTTAGCTTGGTTTGGAATTCTAAAATAATGCCTGTAATCTCTCACTACTTAAAGAAGCTGCTCTATTATTTTCCCTACACATTTATTGTCTAGTTGAGAAGTCTTCTATCATTTGTATTGCCATTCCTTTGTAGGAGATTAGGCTGTTTAGTATTTTTCTTGACTTTGATGTTCCACAGTTTCAACCTGATGTATTTAGCAGTAAAAATGTTTCCTGCTGCAACTCAGTGACCTTTCTAAATCTGAAGATTTAACTCTTAAAATCTAAAAAAAAGAATGAGTCAACAGCTCTTGGGCTACTAAACCCCTCTCCAATATGTGGGACTTCTGATAGAGAAATGTTGGAGCTGCTTAATTAATGTCCCTAGCCCTATGTCTTTTTTTAATTTCTATATTAGTTAGCCCAATAATTCAACTTCCTCTGGCATAAAACCTCTAATTATCTGGCAACATTAAATAAGACTGGTTTCTCCTGGGCAAAGAAATTTTTTGTGTGGACATATTTTGAATGAATATACATTTTTCTGCTCCACACTTGAATTTTTCATTTGCTTCTTCCTGGTTCCCTAAAATCCAGAACTCAGAACCACCTATATGGAGCTCATATAATTTAAACCTGAGAAATATTCCCTTTCTTTTCTAAGGCACCTTTCAAATGAATAGTTTTATTCAAGTCACATCATCCTTGAAGTTATGTCATTTTAAAAGATAGGCACAAGGATGAGGATTGTAAAAAGACTACATATAAGAAGCAGGCATTTTTCCTGGAAGAGGAGATGATTTAGACTTAGATTACCCCATAAGAGCTGTCAACAGTGCGTAAAAACATGATATTTGTGCACCTGATGTCTTAGGCCCCCAACATGATGGTTGGCTGCTTTGCCTCAGAATGCACAATTGTCAGTCTACACCCACTAGCAGGAGGGAAACCAGAGAAAACACTGAGTCAATTCCAAACTTTCAGGACAACAAGAAAATCAGGACAGGAGAATCTCTTGGCTTTATTGATAAGCCACAGCAAAGTTTCTCCAAATGGCTACCAGTCTGGTGAGAATGGCAAACTCGCCAGACTGCGATGTTGGCCTGAGCAACAGGCTCGAAGGACCTATTACTGTGTCATATACCCTGTGTTTCTCATTCTTGTGACAAGCAACACTTTTAGTCAGCAAATGCAAAATGGAAACATGACAGAGAGAAAAAGGAGATAAGAAAAAAATGGCTTGATTCCACCAAGGATGTCAAATAAATGGAACCAGTGTCAAAACCCGGTACCAGCTCTGGCTGGTGTGGCTCAGTTGATGGGGTTGTTGCGTGCACCAAAAAGTTACTATTTTGATTTCAAGTCAGAGTACATGCCTGGATTGTGGGCTCAATCCCCAATATGGGGTGCACAGGAGGCAGATCAATGCTCCACTCTCACATTGATATTTTTCTCTCTCTCCAAAAGTTAATTTTAAAATCTTAAAACACACATACATACACACACACACACACACCTGATAACAAACTGAGAATAAGTAGCCAAGAAACTACTGCAGTAACGGAATTAAAACCTGGTGTTGACTCGCCATATTGGCCCAGACTCCAAAAACTGAGAGTATCAGGCAAAAGGTGCCTGCATGGGTGCTGTTCCTGTTTAAAGGCTGAGGTCCATGGTGATGGGCAATGCAGACTATGTCACACGGGGACCTCCAGGAAAGCTGAAAATAAAGAAAGCCACTTAAATTAGAACAAGCGAAGGTTATTTATTCAGAGCTTGTTAGAGCAAGGGTGTCAGCCCTATCACTTTCTTGCATTTGACAAACTTATCAGTAGGCGAGGGAGTAGGGAAGCTTTATTGTGGAGAAAGGGGAGGACTTCAGGTATGTCCGACTGGAGGTTGTTGGCGGGGGAAGCTGGAGACAGGCTAAGTAGAAGCAGGACATCCTTTGTCATTGGTTTGGTTTGTGTGCTTTGGGTCTTAGGCATAGCGTGTTTGGCTTTCTCAAGTTGGCCCTGAGCTGGAAGTGGGGGTGACAATTAGAAAAGCTGGCCAAGTCCTGCACATTTGGGGCCAGTTGCTGCAGAGGTTATGGTTTTCTTTCTGGGCTGGTGGCTACGAAGGTGTGGGTCAGAATTCTGTTGTCATGTGTGGTCTAGCCATTGTTTTGTATATTCAGCCTCCCTGATCCCAGTATCCTCATCCAAAATCAGAAAGGAAGAAGTAAAAATCTCTATCTGTAGATTATATGATTTATGTATAGGAAGCCCTAAAGACTCCACACAAGAAAAAAAAAACTATTAGCAATAATAAATTCATTAAGATTGCAGAATACAAAAATACACAACCAGTAAACTACCTGAAAAAGTTTAAGAAAACAATACAAATGATAGAAACAAACAAAAAATATATGCTTAGGAATAAACTTAACAAAAGAGGTGAAAGACTTATACACTGAATATTATATAATATAAATGAAAGAAATTAAAGAAGACATATAGAAAAATGCCCCATGTTTATGGATTGGAAAAACGAAAGTTGTTAAAATTTTCATAGTACCCTAA